AGGCCGTACGCGTTACCCGCGGGTACGGGGAAGCTGAATTTAAATTTGTGGGGTCATACCTGGGTGGGGAACGTTCCCCCAAATTTTCAGCTCCCTAGCTTTTGTGGTTTCCGAGTTGCGGACAAGTTGCTGCGGACACACACACACACACACACACACACACAGACAACCCCGTGACAATATGCGTTTTGTACTGCTGTTACGCAGCACAAAACACATAAAAAAATTGCTCCCGAGAGAAACTCTACAAATTCACTAACCAGTAGCTGGACCACACATAAACGCCTTACTGATAGTTTACTAGAACTAGCAACTGAATCAGGTTTTACAGAACCTGTGACCACGACAAGGTGCACACCTAAATTGCAAAGTCAAGATCAAACACGACACTTAAAACCCGTTGGAGAATGGTAAGAGCAGTCAACACTTTTATATTACCTCAGACTGCGTAGTCAACTGAAAAGAAACAAATCAAAACGCTCAAGTGTATGCTACCACACTGCGGCTGGTGATGATGAAGTTGAAGAGTCCAATGTTGCGAGTCGAGCAGTCTATTCGGAATCGATCCCTACAGGTACTGTCGTGATGTGCAATTTCAATGCAAAACTGGGCGAGCAGAGAGTTCCACGGACAGGTACGACATTTAATAGAAGAAACGACTGCGGAGATAAACTGGCAACAATAACCGAGGCGAACAGACTGTTTGTGGACAACAACTGGTCTCAGATGGTAACAAAAGGAGATGGACTTCGGCCGTGCCAAATACAGGAGTTAAAAACAAAAGCGAACCCAAGATACAGCGCATCCTCAAATTGTCCTCCTTCATCCTCATACTGTGGACAAAATGACCTATTATTCCTGCTTCTGAAAATTGGCGCAAAAGGATCCGAAAGACCGCACTGAGGTGACAACAAGTGAGCGATAAGAATTAAAACAAACCCTGACAAGCAGTAGCGAGTTCAAAAGCGCCCTCAATGTACAAAACGGTCTACACAAGCCAGACTTCAGTGGTTGGAGAGAGAATCTTAGCAGTCAAACTCGAGAAATCGTGCTCAACTTTTTCGTGTTGAAAGCAGTGACATACGGATGCGAAGCATATCCAGTAACTGAAGCTACAGAAAAGGCGCTTCTCAGATATCCGGAAGTGTTCCCCTATGCTTACACAAACCCAGGCTGGAACGCACCAGGCTCTTCGGTGCGATCATGCGTTTTAGCACTAAACTCGCAGATCGCTATTAGCAGGAATGATCCCTACGCTGTAGCCTAACTTTTGGGTCATAGCATGCTTTGATCCTTTCCGGCATACAGGAGGAAGGGCGTCAGTTGGGATGAAGGTAGTGCACTATAGAGCCGCACGGACATCCAGGTGCATGCTTACCGGCTTTTTGCATGAAGTCCGGTCGTTTTTTCGCCAAATGCTCGCTTTGTGAAAAAATGACAAATGCAAATTTTTTGACAAAATGCAAATTTCCAGTCCATTAAAAATTGAAAATATTGCTCAAACGGTCGTTTGTCAAAAAATCCATGTTCATTTGTATATACGCTTGCGGTTCAGGCCCGAGTTGCAAACGAATTTTGGGTTGAGGAGCTGCTTGGGGGGCTCGACAGCTGAGTTTAAAATCTTTAGCTCACACGTGCACAAAGAATATCCCTGCAAAGTTCCAGCTTTCTACCTTGCCTGGTTCGCGAAATCGTTTCCCGCAACATATTTCTTTGGGGGTCCCGTACGCGAGGTCTAGGTGCGTATGGGGAAAGATCTTAAAATGGGAGGATGACACACAGGGTAGGAACATATATCCAAAGTTTCAGCCTCCCAGCTTTCTTGGTTGCTGAGATGAAAGTGGGTG